TTTTTTTTACTTACCTGTTATTTACGGGAGTTTTAATAAATTTTGTCTGCAACTCAAAACCTATTTTGTTGAGCGTTTATGTTTTGTTGTGTTATTTGTTTATATCACCATACTCCATCATCTCACGTCACAGTTCGTGTTGTACGCGGGGTTAACTGTGTGGCGCCATATAAATACCCCTCCCTTCTTCACTGAGCCGATCGAGGACTCGCGTACATCTAGGGTGATAAAACTAGTTTTGTCCTTGTTGAAAATTACGTTTTTTTGTTTTGATTTAAAATCTTTAAACGCATTTGGCGTCATAATTCCACTGGATGGATGCAAACGGATATATTGATGCAATGGATTTGCAGTTACGCCTGAAAAATATGGAGCAGATAGACCAGAAGTTGAAGTTGCGGATGAAGAATATGTAGTGTATAAACGCGAAGGTCAAATTACAAGAAATAAAAACAATACAGTAGACAGCACTCTGAAATCACAAGCCAAATTATTTGCACTACTATGCCCAGAAAACATTATTCCTTTGCCTAGACGAAGTAGCCTAAAAAGAAGAAAACAAACCGAAGAAAAGGCCAGACAGCGAAAATAACATCTAGTCCATACAAAAATGAACTCTTACAAGAAAAGTTAAGAAAAGAACAAGAGCACAGTAAAAGGAAAAGTAAGCAAGAAGAAAATAACAGGAAAGCTTCAACATCCAAAGGTGTCCCAGTGAAGAAAAAACCAAAAAGATCTTCCCTATATCCAACAATATTTGTAAACACTTCACATTCCTAGTCCTCTGCCATTTCATAAACCTTTGCAACAAAAAGTTACGAAATTCCGTAAATACTGTGAATGAAACAGTTGAAAATTTTATTAAAATTTCATCGCGTTTTTATTAATGCTATATATTGTGATAAAATTAACCATCGTTTAGTTCACCGAGAGAACATAACCTTGAAATTTTGACAGAGAGATTTTTTGTTGGTGGAAATCTTATCTACAACCGTTTAGTTTGCTTCCAAAAGTATCAATTAATATAGTTCAGCTCCTAAAGCACATTTTTCATTCATCCTTTGATGTTTTAACGTTATTTTGAGGAGCAAATCCTTGATTTAAAATTGAATTTTTCTAACTTTGCTCATTGATGAAATTTTGCGTGTACTCCAATGTATTTCAGACAACAAGAAAAGACAACGTTGAATACGAAGTTTTATTACGATTAATAAAGGAATAAGGGAGAAATCAACGGAAAAAGAATTTAATTTTGAAGGTTAGTTCCGAAAAAATCCGAGAGATGACGCTAGTTTCGATGCAAGAATTTTGAATTTTGAAAAAAGGCGCGAACCTAAGAACCAATCAGAAACGAGGAAGAAACAGTTGGAGTGCCGGGGTATATAAAGAAATCGCGAACAGGCAGCGGGAGAGTATGGGGAGAGTCGTCGTCTGACAAGCGTCGAATTCACGTCGTCAGATAGAAAAAAAATTAAATCTCCGAGACAACCTTTAAAATTACACTGTTGGAAATAATTCACGAGCACATCCTGTATAATCTGAACGCGTGTGTCTAGCGGAATAAAATTTGGTATGGAAGTAGTACTAAAGTAGTGTAACTTACTCTCACATGGAGAATGGCACAACTCTGCTGGGAGATGAAACATCAATAGCGAGAGTATCCCCCCCCCCCGTGAGCTTCGCGTACCATCGCTACACGACGTGGCATGGAATCTATAAGTCGGTGTATTGTAGCGAGAGGGATGGCCAACT